AGGAAACAACAGGGCAAGTAGGTGAATCGTGGACAAGAGTGAGAAAATCTGTACGAGATAAAGGTAAGAGCATTTTGATTGATACTAATAGCAACATCAACTGTAACAATGGTTTTGAAGCTCTTGAGGTTTTGAATGACCATCAAGTGGTCACAAACCTTGAACCATGTTAGTCTCGTGGAACATAAGGGGACTCAATAAAGTAGGCAAAATATCGTGATATTAGGTCCCGTCTCCAAGAGCTAAAGCCTGCTATTATCATTTTGATTGAAACTAGAGTTAAAGAAGCTAAAGCCAAGACCATTCGTGAGAAACTGATGATATATGATAAGCACATGGATAATTACAAAGACCATACAAATGGTAGAATATGGATTCACTGGGATAGTAACAGGGTGGATGTGAGGTTCATACAAAGTAGCAGCTAATTTATACATTGTGGTATCTATGATAACCTTGGAGATTTCAAGCACTGGTTAACTGCTATATATGCTCATAACTAACTAAACAAGAGAAAAATCCTATGGAAAGAAATAGAACACATGTCTGGTAACATCCAAGGACCTTGGTGTGCTGTTGGGGACTACAATAATGTAACAAAAGTCCAGGACAGAATGGGAGGAAATCTAGTGACTGAAAAGGAATATGAAGACCTGCAAAAAATGATGGGGAATGCAGGTTTAAGTGAAATGGATAGCATTGTTGATCATTTCACATGGTCCAATAAACAAGCACCTGGACCCATCTACTCAAGGATTGACAGAGTTTTGGGCAATACTGACTGGTTTCTCAACAATATGGAGACTATATTGAAAATTCTCCCACCTAATATTTCTGATCGTGCCCTGCTATATCTGGAATATAAACAAGAACAGAGGAAACCATCCAAACACTTTAAGTTTAGCAATTGCCTTACTGAACTGCCAGGTTATGATACTTTGATCAAGAAGAATTGGGATGGTCATATTAGGGGTAGCCCAATGTATGTTCTTTGGCACAAACCTCTGTCTGATGTTAATAACAAGCTGATATCAGCTAGGGCCAACCTTAAAGAAACACAAGGAAAACTAAGTGAGGACAGAATGAACAACACCTTGATTGAGGAGACAAAAGAACTGACTGAGGAAGTGATTTCCCTGAACGAGTTGGAATGGAAAATACTAAAGCAAAGGACAAAGATTGACTGGATTAGAAAAGGAGATGGAAACAATCAATATTTCTATGTTGCTATCAAAGGAAGACATCACTCCAACTGCCTTACCAATCTGAGGAAGAGTGATGGCAGGCAGATAACAACCAAAACAAACATTGAAGATGAAGTGATTAATTTCTACAGAAACTTGATGGGCAAAGATATTAACAGCATTAGCCATATTGATATTGAAGCCACGAGGATGGGAAGGCAACTTAACATGGAGCAAAGGGAATACCTCACCAGAACCATATTAGAAGCTGACATCACCAAAACCCTTAGAGGGATAGGAGACCTAAAAGCACCAGGACTGGATGGCTATGAAGCCAAATTCTTCAAGACCAGCTGGACAACTATAAAAACTGATGTGATAGCAGCTGTTAAGGAATACTTTGAAATAGGTAAAATATACAAAGCTTTCAACAATGTTATAGTTTCCCTGATTCCAAAAGGCCATAATGCTTGTGAAATAAAAGACTACAAACCTATAGTTGTTTGTACCACTTTCTATAAAATCATCTCCAAGATTCTGACTGACAGACTAGGATATGTCCTTCCTAGCGTGGTAAATCACAATCAGGAAGCTTTCATACTAGGCCAGAACATACATAACCACATCATGCTTGCAACTGAGCTTCTTAAGGGATACACCGGAAAAGGGGCACACCTAGAATCATGCTACAAATAGATCTGCAAAAAGCATATGATATGGTTAATTGGAGTGCTTTAGAATGTATCATGAAGGAAATGGGCTTCCCTAACAAATTCATTCAATGGACTATGCTAGGCATCACCACTGTGTCCTACAGATTTAACATCATGGGGGAATACGCTGATATTTTGCAGGCCAAAAGGGGGATTCGACAGGGTGATCCTTTATCACATATGCTCTTTGTCCTCATAATGGAATACATGAGCAGGCTGTTGGTGAAAATGCAAAGAGATCCTAATTCAACTACCATGCCAAATGCGAGAAGTTGAAAATCACCAACCTCACTTTTGCGGATGATGTGCTGCTATTTTGTAGAGGAGATGACATATCAATGCAAATGATTTTAGATGCATTCAGAGATTTCTCCAATTCCACAGGTTTGATAATGAACCCTAACAAGTGCAAAATCTATTTTGGAGGGTTGGATAATGAGAGCAGAAAGACCTTGAAAGAACTGTCGGGTTTCCAAGAAGGAACGTTACCGTTCAAATATCTAGGAATCCCATTGTCTAGTAAGAAGCTAACCATCAATCATTTTATGCCTTTGGTGGATAAAATAGTGGCTAGAATCCATCATTGATCCTCTAGACTCCTAATCTATGCAGGAAGAATACAGTTAGTGAAAAGTATATCTGTTGCAATGGTGCAATACTGGATGCAATGCCTCCCTATGCCCAAATTTGTGATCAGAAAAATAGACTCCATCTGTCGAAGCTTCGTCTGGACCGGTAAGGATACGATAAGCAGAAAATTCCCTGTGGCATGGAAACGCACCTGCTGCTCGACTGCACAAGATGGGATGAATCTGCTGAATCTTCAGGTATGGAACAATGTGCTGCTCCTGAAATGTTTATGGAATCTGTGCAACAAAACTGATACTTTGTGGGTTAAATGGGTTCATACTCACTACCTGAAGGATAAAAGTGTGATGAATTATGAAACCAAAGCACACAATTCTTGGATCATACGCGGTATTTTGAAACAACGAGATAACATGGAGGTAATCCGGAACGAATGGGACCAAGTCATGAATGCGCACAAGTTTAAAGCTTCGGTATTTTATAAAGTGCTGATTAATGATGGCACAAGGGTGCTTTGGGGAAAATTGATAAAATCCAACAGGGGACGTCCGCGAGCAGTGCTTTGCTTATGGCAAGCTTGTCATGGGACACTACTAGAAAACTTTATTTTAGCTGCGAATTTAGCCTCGGCCACCGATACCGAGGCTAACTAGCCTTGACAAAACCCAAGCTATTCAAACGCAAAAAAGG